ATTGTACTCTTTCTTTATATAAATTATATGCAACTTTAATAAATTGTTTTTGATAACCACTGGTATATCAGGATGGACAATGGCTTTGGATTCCAAGTGACCTGTATTCAACTCCCAACTCTGCCATACCGGATGTTAGACACTGGGTAAATTGCCAACTCCCCTAAGTCATTTCATGAGGAGATAATCCTACTTACCCAAGCCATTTCAAAGACTCGGTGAAATGATGCTTTAGGAAAACTGCATCTTTCTGTGGTGCCCAATCCCATCGTCAGCCTGGAGCCTGCCTGCCCACCTGCAAATTCACCAAGTATATCAGAGTTCTGAGCACAGTTTCATTTCTGCCCTTGTGTGACTTTGATTCCTCCTATGGACCCAACCCATGACAGTCCTGGACCATGATGTGGGGACAGGACTTTGTTCTTGAGAAGTTGTCTGGTCCGAATGACTTCTGATCTCCAATACAACTATTGTTACTCATCTGCCCAACCTTACTCGCCTGACTTGATTGATAGTGGAGCCATTTGAGGAAGGCTGCAGGGCTTAAGGCTGTGTTCAGGCCCGTGAAGGAAGCGGGTTTTGGCACAGTCCTCTCTCCCTTCCCTTCTGGCCGTTACCAGGCAATACCTGTCTCCTCGCAGCCTCTCTGGATGAAATGCACAGGTAAGGCTCCTTAAAGAGTGCCGGCTCACAAAAGCAGGCCACAGCCAAGGCTGCTGATCTTCATGGCTGAGCTCCATGCTTTCTTTCAAGCTGTCCTTCCTCCCTCCCCACTCCACCATCACCATAGCAACCCAGTGGTGTAAAAAAGTAAAAGAGCTAAGGCATCTAAATATAGTCCAAGTTTCAACTGTTCCTGCACGGCACCTATTACCTGGGGGGTAGAAGCATCCGAATGGTAACCGGTCCCCAGAAGAAAGGCTAGCGGGAAGGAGTGGAGGTCAAGGGTCAAAAGAAGGGAAGGCACAACCATTTGCTGGGCCGGCTGCCTGTGTTTTCTCATTGAACTGCCACGGCCACACAGTGTGGAAGCTATCTTCACATTGCTGCTGAGGAGACGGAAGCTCAAGGTGCATAGGGACTTGGCCAGGGTCACACATCTGTCAGCAATAGAGCCGATGTTAACTGAGGTCCCCATTATGCCAGACTTTACTCCCTCCACCTTGCACTACACAGACAGGTGCAAGTGGGGGATTTTGCCGGAAGTGCTAGGCTTTGGAGACAGATCCCATAAGCAATTTGAGTCCCGAGTGCAACTGAATTATTGGGTGATGCCAAACGAACTATGATTTCCATGAAGCTGCCACCGTTTGTCTTCAGGAGCTCAGAGTGAGGTGAAGGGGAGGCAGTAGCTTCCAGGGAGCACGATGACAGGACTCTGCACTCAGACCTATGTAAAACGGCGTCACTGGCAGCCCTGACCAGAGAATGCTCACTGTGGCTCCTACCAACACTCATCCCTTCACTCATCCTCTCAACTAAGGCTCTTGTTGAGCATCTGACTTATGCTATCCCCTCGGGAAATAGAGGCAATTAATGGAAACAAACACAGTGCTTGTCCTCAGAGACTTTAGGACAGTGGGAATGACAGGGAAGGTGACAAATATATAACTGATCGATTCTGCATAACTGGGACGTGTAGTGTAAGTACACACCGGAAGAACGTCGCTTGCCCACTGACATTGGTGGAAGGGGATACAGAAGCTCCCACAAGTGAAAGAAGTCCACCAGGTGAGGGACAGAGGCATGTGCACTCTCCAGGTAAACAGAGACTCCTAGGAGCTCAGCCTCCGACATGAGCTCATAGGGTCACTGCATGCCCCAGCCCATCCCCCACTCTGTATCTTTACAACATCATGAAGCCACATAAGTGAGGCTTTACAAAACCAGAAAGTAGAGTCACATGCGATCTGGAAGGAAAGAAATGTACCCCCGCCATTCCTTGGTATCATTATTGAAAAACTGAGTAGGTGTGTGAGGGTGCATGTGTCCCGCCCAAATCCCTAGAAGAGGTAAGCAAGCTGTTGGCTGCTTCAGGTTAGTTAGCAGGAGTGTCCCCGAGAAGTGCCTGTAACCTTTTATGGGAAAGGGAGAGAAGAGAGTTGGCACAGAAAATGTGAATTTCTGTGGATCTGGAGCTTTCCAAACTGCCTGGAAGGCAGCAAATGTGGGGGTTACTCTGTGAATGAGTTCGAATTAGATAATATCATGTGTGTGGAGCTCTTGAGTGCTTCAGAGAAAATGCTGTCTAAATACACAGTGCTCGCATCAAAGATAATGATACAGTGCTCTATTTATAGTGCTCTGCTACCTACCTGCCAGCTACTTCCCAGGGATGGGGAAAGATGAATGGGCAAGATGGAGGGAAAGTGCTTTGAAATCCTTGATTAAGAGCCCTCAGGGCAGATGTAGAGTTTAAAATATATAACATTATTGTCCCCATCGTTGTGTTTTCTTTTGTCATCCGGAATGTCACCTCCTTCTGTTTCAGGTGAATGAGTCTGTCTGACTGTTCCACGCCCATTGTGTCATCCAGAAGGCAGCAGTCCCCAGATGTGCCGTATGCACAAACATGCTTTTTCCCTAGGCTGCCTCCCGTCAGTTGTATTTGGCTGCTTTGTAAATCCAGGCTTCCCCAAGCTCATTTTATTTCTTCCAATAGGAAACAAATATGCAAATGCCCTTCTTAAAGTGAGTGTTGATTGCAAACCTCTGCACATGGTGGACAGATTAGAGCTGTGGAAATGAGAGGAAGGGACCACTGGGCTCTAAAGGGGGAAAGACTCTCACAGCACAGCATCTCACTCACCCAGGATAGAGCTTGAGAGAATTCACCGAAGTTGGGGCAGGGTAGCAAAGGGACTTGAGAACTTGGAAAAGTCTCCAAAAAATCAGATTCTGGGTGTGAGTGGTTGTCAACAAACCCTGATCACTGTTGAAGAACTTCTCCCTACCCAAGCCAGGAGCCCCAGGTATACAAATTGATCTCTTTGGCTCCCTCTCACCATGGAGATAAACCAGGAGCCTGGGAACTGTCAATCTATAAAGGGACATGAATATGCAAATGAGAAAGAGAGCAGAGTTGGGTGGTAGGGAAGTTTACCCTGTGACACAGGGGTAGTAGGTGAAGGAAAAGGTCGGTCCCCATTCACCAAGAAAGGGAAGGCCAATTGGCAGCAAGGAGTATGACAGTGAGACATATCCCTTTATCTATGACTCTTCATCATGCCATCCATGGAGTTTAGAAGGTACCCTGCCTGTCCCAAACCAGCACTGTTGAACTGTTAGGTATGTAACCTTCACATGAGACCATCCTGGGAATCAGAGAAAGAATTGCATCTCCTATAGCTTAAACAGAACATCATCGAATTAACATTTCTGCCTACTTATTCTTTGCGAGTCCCTTGCTGTAAGCTTTCCTTGTGTCCTCTCCTTGGGTCCTCTCAATGACCCTGTGAAGTAGGTCTTACAACTCTGCCCTTCTTCAGATGAGGAAGCTGAGCCTCACAGTCTCACAAATTAGTCAAGAGGTTAAACCTTGTAAGTACTGCAAACAGATGGCTCTGATCCTAAGGCTGGGGTTCTTCACCACGAATGACGGAGAGAAACGTCAGTCAGGAGAAGGAGCAGTGGGGGGGGGGACTGAGGGGTAGAACTGGCAATAATAAGTAATTGAAGGGGCAGCAGAGTGAGGACTCCATACAAGGCAACTCTTTTCATGCATGTTTTGAAGGTTAGGGAAAGAGGTCTAGACTGTTGGGGAAGAGGTGGGGGAAGTATTAAAGCTGTCTTTTCATAGAGGTAGCTTTGTGGTGGTGCTTGTCAATGGAGTAGTGTGTGCAAGAATGGAACCAGAGAGACAGCCAAGGCTTCTTCTGCATCCCTCACAGTAATCGTATGCTAAGTGCCAAGCAGGGGCCCTGTACTCTAATGCCCTGGGTTCAGCTCCTGGCTCCACCACTACAGCTAGTCACAAAGCGTCCGTTCACTAACTATAAATTGCCATGGGCTAGAGTGTGTGCCGGGTGCTGGCAAATGAGACAGACAGGGTTTCTGCTTTTAATGGCATTAGTATTCTGGTGAGGGAACCAGGTAAAGCAGGCGAATAGGATGAAGGTGAGACAGGCTGGCATGGAAAGGTATAGGAGGAGGACCAGTTTGAAAAGACAGAGAAGTAACATTAGCAGAGACTTTCCAAAAGAACCTAGTTATGAGACTGTCTGGGAAGTGACAGTTCAGAAAAGGGAAACTGTTTGTGCAAATATCCTGAGGCAGGAATCAGGGTTATGCATTTTAGGTAAGAGAAGATGGGGATGCGGAGGCAGAGTCAGCAGGGGGACCAGCAGAAGGTGTTCTGTGCAAAAGGCCGGGTAGACTGTGCATGCCCATCAGCATCCAAGCAGTTCCTGGGCGTGTGTCCACAAGTGCACATCCTCAGGGTCAGTGCAGATCTGCTGCAACTGGAGCCTTGGGGATGGAGGCCAGCACGCTGTGCTTTCTCAAGTCTTCCAAACGATTCTGTTGTCTCCGTTTTTCAGCTGGATCGGACAGTTTCAGGGGGTTTCATTTTCATTTTTCCTGGTTTTCTTAAGATTTGTTTTTTATTTGTGTGTGGGGTGTGTATCTGAGAGAGACAGAGACAGACAGACAGACACACACACACACACACACACACACACACACACACAGAGGGCAGGGGAGAATATGCCACAAGTCTGCCAGTGCCCTTACAGGCCAAAGCAGACATCAGATTCCTTGAACTGGAGTTGCAGACAGTTGTGTGCCACTGACATCTCCCAGAGCAGCAGGCTGTCTTAACAGCTGCCATCTCTCCACCCTTATTCAGTTTCAATTGTATTCCAGGTGTGGCGACGTCTGAGTCATGGAACCTAAGTTAAAAAGTGGCACATCAGGATTTTTTAAAACTTTAAATCATCTATTCTTTATTCTTGCGGCCAACTTCTGTACGAACACCATCATCACTTTGAGCTCTCTGTTATCACAATCCTTCTCATATGTATCAAAACTCATTCTGAACAATGAGCCCCAGGCTGCAGAAGAGGGCTTATTTTTGAATCTATCTTTAAATCTTTGGTTGGCAGTTCAACAACACATAACACTAACAGTTTTCTCTTCAAAGCTACAGAAAGACCCTGACTAATGAAAGAATAGACTGTGTCAGGACACGAGGAACACGCACACACACATGCACACACACACATGCATACAGAGAGATGTGCTCACACACAAACACACAAGCATGCACACACCCATGCACTCATGTATACACGCATGCATGCATGTATACATGCGTATGCTTATACACACACAGAGACACAATGAACACACATACAAACATGCACACATTCACAAGCACATGCATACTTTTGTATTTGAATGAAATCTGCAATTACAAAAACCAAGGGAAGAGAGCTATGCAGGTGCAGCTTGGGAACCTGTCTTCATCCAAAACGTGGCATTTCTTTCATGATGGATTTTCCCCATTAACTCTGATTTTTGTAATGTAGTATTATGATGCCATTTAGCTTGAGTGCCGAGATTTCTGTTGTCTCCTTACACTGTGCACCCAAGCCTCCTCAGCTCGTGTAAAGGTCTCATGATCTCTGACTCCCTGCATTTGTGAAAAGCATGTTTTGAGATTCTATTCTTCAAGAAATTTGTCTGTTGTGCTTGCCCCAATATCAGGAGGCTCTGTGGAGCCCAGCGGTCATGCAGTATTGCCAACATTGCTTTAGTTTGGTCCCTGTCTGTTTCAGTCAAGAAAATGTCTATCGTGTCAGCAAATCCCTGATATAGCTGAATCTCTAACTGAAGGAGTCCCTCTGTCTAACCCAGGCACAGCAATCTTTCCTAGATTTTCTATTCAGCAGCATCTCTAGAAAGTACTTGCCTAAAGTGAGAGGTTTGCAGATGCTCGGGTGGGCAAGGGAGTGAAGAGGAAGGTGAAGAGCCTTTGACTGGGCTTGACACGGGTCCTATGGAGCCCGCAGCTCTCTCGTGCTAAGTGTTAGAAGGCTTTCCCCTGAAGTTTTATGTCTATACAATAAAAAATGTTTTCCTGCTTGGATCAAAATTATCCTTTAAAATAAGATCCCCGCCAGAGAAAGAGAGCCAGAAAGAGAGACCTAACATCTCTAAAGCCATGAATCAGATAACCAGCCATTTTCTGTCTGCAGTGTCGGGAGCAGACACACTGTTAAATAAATTATTTTATAGATTAGTCCCCTTGCCTTTCCAAGAAGGGGATTTATCAGTTTCAGGGCACAGCACCATCTATTCCTAGACCACTGCTGCTTTTTCACTTTTCTTCTTGACGTAGAAGGAAGAGGGAATTGGAGCTGTGAATCTTCCTGTCTCCCTCCAACTCCGCTCCCTTGGGCCGATTTGGGGCAAATGTGGGTCTCCAGCAGGCCTATAAATGCAGAGGTGACCTGTGGCTTTGCTCATTGCTACAGAGACTGGAGGCTGTATTGTGCTTTGAGAGTAACTGGACATGACCCTTGCAGAGATCACTTTCCAGGAGGGCCATCACAGGGTGGTTCTCTGATGTATCATTCAATTAACAAATGCCATTTATGCCCCTTTAATCTAAAGGAACTCAATAGTCAAAAAGTAATGAAATCCAGAGGCTCATTCAAATTGGGTGCCCTCCATGCAGAGCAATGTTCTGAGAGGCCAGCCAGGCCTTGGAAATGTTTTCCTAATCCCTCTGGGGTTACTGGGAGATCTCCCAGGAGAGTTATCTCCAAGAGGCACAGCCAGGTCCCAAGCTGGGAACACCACATATTCTGGCAACTCTCAGCAGAAGGCTAGTAGGAAAGGCAGATGTTGGCCCAGTAGCCTCCAATGGTATCACCGGCTCTCCAGACAGCTGATAGCCTGTGTCCATGTCTATTTATAAGCAGCCACTGAGCAGGAAGGAAAAACTGGTAACACAGAATGAAGCATTATGAACTCCTCACCTGAGTTAATGGCTCCAATGTTGGTTGTGGATACCATCTTCCACAGAGTGGACAAATGGAGAATGTTATGTAAGCTTAAGGTCTCAGCTGAGTGGAACTGGCCTCCCAGACATTGTGTCCCACAGAATCCTTGGGCATGCCATCACAGTAACCATCAAAGTATTTTTTACCCTTTGTCACAAGTTTTTATAGCAGAAAGACATGAGACTCTAGGTGTGTTAGCAACCACTCACCAGTCATTACTCTACAAGATCTTTCTGAGGGTGTCTTGTGTGCTGGGCATGTGCCAAGCAGGGATTGAAGCCTCAGATAAGACAGGCTCAGTCCCTGCTCTCCCGGAGTTGACACACAAGTGGGAACGGACTGACAGGAAATGGTAACCAACAAGCTAACTTCAAACCATGAGCACACCTCTGTGTGATGGAATGGAATGCAGTGCAGTCTGTGGTGAGAGGCGATTCTCAGGGCTAAGGTGGCTATGGAAGGCTTCTCCAGGGAGGCAACGTGGACAAGAAAGCCCAACAGATGAGGATAAGTCCAGGGTGGGTGAAGAGCATCCCACACAAGGAACACGAGTAAGCTTACTCTGAGTGGGAATCAACGCCATCTGAGGGACAGAAAGAACACGATGCCTGGGAGCAGAGCAAGGGGATCTTGTGATGAGTGAGATCTCGAGTTCAGTGTCGCTGGGTGGAGAAGCTCCTCTAGGACGAAGGATTTTGCTTACTCCAACAGCAGGGGATACGGCAGGATCTGGACTTGGTGTTTGAGTCAGGGTCTCTTTGGGCAGCCAAGGTTAGCCTGTAATTATGTAGGTCAGCCTGGTCTCAAACTTGCAGTCCTCCTTTTGTCTCTGGAGGGTTACAAGTGTGTGCCGCCATATCTGGCTACACTGCCTTTTAAATCTGTCACCCTGGCTGTAATGTGGGGAAGGAATTGAAGGGAGAAGCAGCACAGCCTAGGACAGGAGAGTCTCTTCAGAGGCTGCAGCCGCTCAAGGGAGAGGCCAGGTGTCCTGATCTTGGTAGCAGAAGGGAGGGTGATGGCCAAGGAATTTGGGGCGGGAGGTGGGTGGGGAGGAGGGAAGATGGAATCAGAGAATGGGAGAGGGGTGATTCCAGGTTCAGGGCCAGAGCCAAGGATAGATGACTATGCCACTGACTGAAGTGAAGGGAACGAGTTTGGAAAGAACTCGAGGCCCAGCTGGTGACTCCTAGTTAGCGTTCTGTGTTCTCACTTGTGTGTGGTACAGAAATGAAAACGTTGCCAGTTTGGGGGAGCTGTGAGGGATTTCTCGAGTCTCCAATCAGGGTAACACCTTCAGTGGGAACAGATGTGATGTCTTTCCCAGGAATGAGCTCCCTGGGGGAACCCCACACCCTGCCTCCTTCTCCCAACCCACCATCCAGCTGGTCTTTTCAGCCAGCTAGCTCCGTTTCCTCCTTCTGCTACTCAGCACCTGTCTTCCTTCCTCCTGTCTTCTACTCTGATGTCCGTGGAGTCTCTTTTTCTGTTTATCTGTTCACTTGACATCAAAACAAACACAAGCCACGTTGTATAACGTGTTCTATCCAGCTCTGAGCCTGTCACTGATGATAGCAGAGGCCGGATTTTGAGAGAATGTGAGTCTCTCCCTGTAGCCTCCTAGCACTCCAATCCCCTGTAATAATCCATTTAGGGATATATTATCTTGGCTTATCCAGCCCTTTCTTGACCTGACTTCTATTTGCCGAAAGTACTATTTTTTGATGCCCCCTTATTTTCTGACTTAATGACTGGAGATGAAAAGATCCCCTTACGTGTGACTCTCAAACTGGATTGTTGCTATGTTCTGTGGTAATTGTTTCCATCTGGTAAACCCTCAGCAGAGAACATACCTCCTTGCTGTTAGGGCGACACTACAGAGCAAACGCTGCTGTGTCATTTTGCACTTGAGACTCCACACTTGGAACATGTTACATCTTGAGGACTTTATCAGGTTACCAAGATTACCCAGATGCTGAGGGTGGAAGAAAGATTTCAACCCAAGCTATCAGTCCCCAAAAGAAGAAAAGCCATAGTGCTGTGGTTTTCATGGGCTGCAAGGACGTTGTTTCCCATGGTAGCTACCCAGGGTTTCATGGACTGCAGTGAGTACAGAGGTCGTCAAGGTTTACAGTGTCATTTTGTAAGCAATTTGTGGTATGGTCCAGGGCAGGATGGGCAACTGTTACACTCACTTCAGCAGAGTGAGTGAGGTTAGTAGAGAAGCCATAGACACGTAAGCAAACTCTTATGGTTGACTTGGGGCGGCTTCGGGGAACAAAGAGTTTGTGTCAAGTTAGGGTATAGAGATAGCTGTGCTTCGTTTAAAAAGAAGAAATATTGGATCAGAATACCTCTGTCTCCTCTGCAAAGGTTGATTTTAGAGGGATGTCTGGAAGGGAACTGCTGATGGGAGCAGACCAAGGTTCTGCGGAGCTCTGCACACCTATGCTACAGATAGGTGAAGTTCTATGCCACAATAGCACCAGTGCCACATTGAGTGGAGGTGACATGTATGGGCTGGGTCTGGCCCTGGAATACCCCACCATAAGCAACAGCTTGGAGGCATAGGCTTCCATGTCTTTTTAAGGCAACTGGAGAAAGGAGAAGCAGGGGGTGGGTGGGTAGGTGGCACAAAATAGTTACCTACACATTCTTTCGTACACAAAGCTATGTGGGATATCAGGGGTGGTGTTGGCCAAAGGATCACTGTAGAACTTAGACACTGGTCCCAACTCAGACAGTTACAGAGTTATGTAGCCTTCCCTCTTGTCCCCACACTATAGCATCACGTTTGTAGACAGCATCTCCCAGTCACTGTGAACTAGACAATGTGTGACGCAAACCAAGCAGTTCTCTCCTGGCTCCCTGTGATCTCCACCACCACACAAAAGGGAGAGAGCATCTACTATTCTGGGCAGGATTCCCACAGGCCTATTTGTCCCTCTCTTTCTGTTCTTTGTATAAAATAAGCACTTTCAATCATCATCTGCTGGTTCTAGAAGTAAAGAAAAAATTCTTCCTTGTTCCAAAAGCAAAGAGATGAAGAATGGGCCTCATAAGAAGCCCTGTGAGAGCAATCTTCTTATGTATGCAGGAGCCTTTCATCTGTCTT